TATTCAAATTGTTCGCTGGCATGTTAGGAAGCCTGTCAGCAACCACATATTTACCTGAAGAAGTGCTTATGTCATGTGTGATGATTACACAACAAAATATAATCATTTTCGAAGTGAAAATCTGAAGACTAAATTTGATTGAGATTACAAGGAAATATTGAGAAACACTGAATTTGAAAATGAATTCCTGCAAACAAAACCTACTTTCATGACAAAGAAGCCCTCCACAAGAAACAACTTAGCTGAAAATTGACATCTAGAAAGGAAAAAAAAAACCCTAACCTCCACCTCCTAGGAGAAACATCAACCTGCTAGCTAGTGGTATCTACAATTGCTAGGCTCTTGCAAGCATTAAAAGAAAATCTCACCTTGTTGCTCTTACCTGCTGCCACAAACACCCTCTCAAATCCAATGACTTTCTTGGCATGAGCCCCACTAACACCATCTGGAGGTTTTGATTAAACCATGACCGCTTCACTTCCGTCTTTATCCCCTACGTTTTGGACTGTCACCTCAAACCCAAATTGATTGGCACAACTTAAATCATCAACAAAAACAGCAGGGCAGCTTTGCCTGTAGCCTTCACTGGTGGAGTTCAAGTCATGGCATTACTGATATATACTTGTTCAATTTGATTTCAAGATAGGCTTCAGCTGGGGATGCTAGCTCGTTCCTGAACTCCGTGTAGCTGAGTCTATATCCAAATGGATAAACTGTTGAGCCATTGTAGAATTTATATGTTCTTACAGGATAACCGAAGCTGTCAACAGGTCGCAGTGGCATTGATGTCACATGTAACATATCAACATAGCTACTTTCATACCATGTGAGTGGCAGTCTCCCTCCTATATATATATATATATATATATATATGATCATGGCATGGTCATTATATATATATATTATGATCACGGCATGGTCATAATATTACTAAAACCATCTATGAACAGTGCATTTATGTACTTCAATCAATACTAAGGAAGAGAAAAAAATCGATTACTTGTCTAGTCTAGAAAACTTCCAGTGCTACAATTAATTACCTGTCACTTGCGAGAGCTGATGAGAGTTCTTCCGCAAACAATCATATGGATGAGCGTTAACCTTCATGAAACTACACATTATGTTAAAATCGAAGTCTCTGAATGCTTTGACAGCTCCTCCAGCAAACTACTCCTCGGGTAGACAAGCTTGTTAGCCATGACAGATGCAATACAGCTTTGTGCCTATCTGGAACAACCTGCTTATTCTGTTTCCATCAAGGCTTCAGTTTCACTGCCTTTTACCTAACAACAAGTCCCACCCTCACATTAGAAGCTTTATCAAAGCTTCCAAAAACATCCTCTTACTGTCCCATGTTATCCACAAAACAATTTATTCACACATCTCCTTCCAGAGATGGTTGTACCTTTTCCTTTTCTTCACTGGGTCAAAAGGTTGTTATCACTGCAATACCCAGAAATGATACTAACATCAAGTTGAGACAATTCTTTGGTTGTTTCTTTCCAATGGATGTCAGGAACTCAGACAAAGGTTTTGATCCCCAACCTACAAGCTCCTTAGCTTTGACTTACCTTTATTTTCATCACGTATTGTTTTTTATTGTTTCTCTTCCTTCCTTTCATTAGTCTATGTTCTTTCATTCATTCAAATTATCAGACATGAGAAGTTTATCTGCAAAATCACAAATCCCCCGTCCTTCTTCAGAATCATCATTTAAGCCAAAGCCATAGTTCTCTTCCAACTCAAAATTTATCTACGTAATTCTATTCTCTTCTTCTTCAAAATATTTGTTTTGGTCATCATAAAGATGCTTTGATGTGCCTATAGGCATCCCACCAGCAGCTTTAACAAGGAAAAAACCCCAATAGTGCTACCAATAATCACCGCAAGAACAAATGCCATTCTTGAAGTGATGAAAGCGGCCAGAATCTCTTACAACAATCTTGCGTCCTACAATCTTTGACATAAGCTTAATAACAGAGTGACAATCCCCACATACACGAAGATTCTTCATGACTGTTATTGTGCTACCCTCCACGGTGCTAACTAGCCCAAACGCAATAGCAAGCCTCTCACTGTGAAAAGACAACATCTCTTCCTTCTGCTCATCTTCGACATCATGTAGAGCAAATTTTTGATCAGGAACATAACCAAATTCCTTCAACTTTTTTCCCAACCAGTCCAGCTTGTCATATATTCTCTCACTTAGAGGATGGGATCTGTCTGCAGAAAGAAACTCATGTTTCTTTCCCCTCAAAACTACCCAACTGGATCCTGGTTGTTTTGCAAGTCCTCCCTGTTTCATCTTCACTCTCATTCTAGAGACATCAGCCCATCTACCAGCAGATGCATATATATTAGACAACAAGACATAGGCAGCACTACAATTTGGCTCTAAATCAAGAATATGTTTTGCAGCTCTGTGTACATGACGCTCTAAATCAAGAATATGTTTTGCAGCTCTTTCAGCAACCTTCAAATTAGAATGCACCCTACAAGCACTAAGCAAAGCAAGCCATATCATTGAATTCGCTTTCACGGGCATATATCTAACCAACTCCTCTGCTTCATCCAACTTCCCACATCTTCCCAGGATGTCCACCATACAAGCATAGTGCTGAAGCCTTAATGCATTGGATTTATATCGACTGATATACTCAAAAAAGCACTTCCCCTTCTGTAACATCCCAGAACGGCTACAAGCAGAAAGCAAACCGGTGAATGTGATCTCGTCTGGATCTACCCCTCTACGTATCATTTGGTTAAAGAA